CCATTATTAAAAAAATGTAATATATAGGAGGGTAAAAAAATATATTAATTTAAATATGAATATAAAAAAACATACTTAAACATAAATATAAAGAGGTGCATAAATATAAACGCAGTCCATTGCTGTTATTTATTATTGTTATTATTAATATATTACTATTAACTACGAATCAATACTATTACCTAGTATATTATTTATGTAATAATAGTACGTAGTAGAAAGTGACACTGATTACTTATATATATGTATAGTAATAGTTGCGTCCGTCGTGACTCGTTATCTAATCGAGATTTCCATTCATATTGACACTCATTCAAGTGAGAATGTCGTTGCACTACATTTTCATTCATAATTTATTTCAATGTCGTGACATTGCAATGATATCATATAACATATGTATTGTATATAATATCATCTCAAATTTGCAATTTTTCCATTAAATTAACAATTCCTTTCTTGAAAAAAATTGCAAATTTCTAATTTCTTTCCTTTGTGAAACTTTTATCTATTTTAATTTGAAATATTTTTCTAAAATATTATATTAACAGTTGAAATGTTGTAATATTAAATAGTTTAATCTATGCGTGCATATGTATATTCCTACTTACGCCTAAGTATACGGTATGATCTTTTACATTCAATAATTAATTCGTTTTACAAATCTATTTCTAATAATGCACTTAAAATATTTGTTGTACTTTCTTCATTTAAGTAATCAAAATTATATAATTTTTTATTGTATATTATAAATATAATTAATTTACATAAATAGGATCAACAAATATCCTTGTTTCTTGTTTAATTAAAATAGATTCTATTTAAACAAAATTTTAGAATATATAACAAAATATCTATTAAAAATTAAAAGAATAGTTTATCTAAAAATAGTTTAAATAGAGGAATATATAAACAAAATTAATATATGCTTTAGTTAAAATCCTACATTACCTTAATTATTCTAAATAACAATTTTTTTATTTCTTTCACCAATCACAAGATATCCTTTTATGGAAAAGTTTATTGTTAAAAGAAGATCACTTCTTTCTGAGATTCATGTATACAATTGTCGCAACAAGATGTTGTCACTCACATATATGCGGAATGAAGTTTTGCCTTAAACGCGCACACGTAAACTGAAAATATTTGCACATTTCTACATATTCGAGCTTTCACGTATTATTGAATTCCTGTATGTCATTGAAATTTAATTAAAATTTTGACATAATCGTGAACACAAGATTTGTTGTGTGCATGTTCATATAATTTACTACTTTTAAACATTAGTTTAAACTATATATTAATTACATTTTATAATGCAATATATAAATACAATAATAATTTTTAAAAACTGATAGAAGAGCATTTTAAGGCCTACATCTCATCAATAAATTTCAAATTACAGTCCTTTTCTTGTAATCTTAATATTTTTAAAATTAATAAAATTATTTAATTAATAAAATTTGTGATTCTAAAAAAAAGACATCTGGAGTATTATGATTAAAAACTCATAAAATTTCTCAATATTAAGATAATCAAAAAATGTGATTAATTTACAAAATATTTTTCAACATAATTTTATTGATTGTGCGATTTTATTAATTGTGAGATCAATGCGATTGACATACAATTACGTACCAAAGGCTTTGCCCCAGGCTAAATCATTGGTGTCCCTTACGCAACTACTTACAGGTGACTTTCACTGGAAGATGATCCGGCCTCTGTGTGTGATTCATAAGATGATACAGCTTTGACCATTTGACTGGCAGATTTGCCATGAGCAATTAAGATATCCAACTCAAAGGCCATTACGTTTACTTTTAGTCTTGAACATATATTTTATCTGCTTTAATTGATTTTTGATAATACTCAGATTCACAAAAACTTTAAACATTTAGCAATTTTAAATATTTAGTTACATGTGCAATATTATCTTCTTCGCTTAATAAAAAATTTATAGATTAAATATAAATAAAAAAATTAACATATTAAAAATATATGAATTATAGATTCGCGTCGATATAAAAATATCTAATTAAATTAAAATTTAATTATTTAGTAGTTTAATTAAAAATCTGATTATATATTTTTTACAATATATACATTTTGCACAAACACGCAATATGTAATAGCAGTTTCGCAACAAAATAAAAAAGATTAAATAATCTATTATTATTATATTAATATTACAAAAGTTAAAACATATATTTTATTAAATTTAATTCAACTAATAGTTTTAAAATTAAATTTTATATTTATATTGTAAAAAATATTTACTTGGCTATAAAATATTACAATTGTCAATTACCAATAATTTTTTTCTATTATAATGAAATAACTACAACAATTCCATTGAAATGTAATAATAGGATTGCAACAATTTCATCAACGTTACGATAATAATAAAAATATATAATTAGAAGGAAATTATTACATAATGTTATAGTTATACATTATAGTTCTGCGAAATTCATATAATTATATTAAATCAAAATACCGTATAAGTCATTTGATGTATCAATTTGATCTATCGATCAACATTTTAAAGAAAAGGTTGAATAGTGACTTCTAATACGATAGTAAAGATCGCCTTGCACTCTTTGCATAATCAAGGATGAGAGTTGCAATCGTGTATAAGGTTAGTCTTCGATTGAAATGATAGGGCAGTCACTTTTTTGATATTCCTGGCGGATTCCCGGCGTCCCTGAATGGAATCCTGATTCTCTGTTTCTCTCTCTCCCTCTCTCTCTCTCTCTCTCTCTCTCTCTCTCTCTCTCTCTCTCTCTCTTTCTCTCTCCTCCACTTTTTCAATCTCTTATCCTTAGATAAAAAGTCATAATAAGTAAATATGAAAGTAATTCACAAGAATGGCAAAGAAAGATGCAATTAAATTACCTTTGTACCTTTTCAATTTATTTATTTTCCTGACATCTTATCATAATTATAGTACACATGAGATAATTAGTTCATTGACATCATAATATTAAATATAGACTCTGAAGATTATAAATAATTAAATCATTTTAAATAAATAAAACGTACATAATACATGTTAATAATAGCATATATAATAATAGTACAATACAATAGTATCAAAAATTGTATAAATTGAACAATCAATAAATTGTAACAATATAACATATAATTTAAGCAATTTAAATATTTTAATAATTATTAATTAAAAGTTACATAAATTATATAATAATACTAATTTGCTTTCATGATATTCTCGAATAATTAGCAATTAGGCAATTAACTAATCAATAATTATAAAAAAAATCGCGTTAATCCATCGAGTAAGTTTTTGTTTACTCTATCAATCAATTTAATTACCATAGATAAAAGACAGTTCACTAATCTAGGACATTCTTTTCATGTCACGTACATATATTAGTTGCGCACGCGAATAGTTTGATTTATGACGTTGCATAAATTAACATATTTTAACGTACAATCGATGACTCTACATTTCCTTCAAGAAAAAATTAAATTTAATCTGATTTTAATAAAATTAATAATTTATGATAAATGTTGTCAGAAAAATTTTTTACTTTAATAGTTACTGCTACGGATGTCATTTTTACGAGTTTATGAAAATTTTAATTCAGCCCTCCATTATCAATTTTAATTCCAGTTAAATCCATTATATATTTAAATAAACGATAAATTTAAATATTTTTATTTTAAAAAATCTTACAAACAATTAATCTAATCAGCATCACATTTTTTTCATTATAATTTGTAACTAATATCTGCTTGCTATATTATTAGAGTTTATATTTGTTAAAATATTTTTATAAAAAGGTTTAGTAATAGATTTTTATATAGAATAGAATTTAGTGTTCTTAGAATTTATAGATTATTCATAGAATATCTTTAGGACGTTGTCTTTTCCTTTAGAATGTATAATAATAAATTTTTAAAGGTATGTTAAGATTGCCTTGAAAAGCAAACAGCATAGCACTTTGACGCTACGGTCGTTTGACTGAAACGATCTTGCTATTGTCCACTAAAATATCGCGACATAAATACCGTAGGCATTAATCGTTACGGCAACATTTGACGCTGCAAGTACGCGTAGAGAAGGGTTAGGTCGGGAGCTAGCATATATTAACCTTTCGTTATGTAGTCTGTCAACCTGGGACTGAAAGAAGAAAACGACGAAGAAGAGTCCCGCTCGCACAACCTTCTTAGAATCGCGACTTTCCCTTCACGTGGGTGGAACAACAGTTGAGATCATCAATCGCGACTGTGGATCCTGGCCAAACCTAACTTAGTCAACCAGGATATGTGCCACTTTTTGTGGCTTATTTGCATGACAACCCAATGAAATGGATTATTGAAGAATATATTAATGATTATTAAAATATATATTAAAAGATCTATTTTATTAGGATCTAAAAATGCATATTAATATAATTCTAAAATAATGTGGCGTAGAGAAGTCGAAATATTTTAAGTATAAAAAGTAAAAAATTGAGAGATAATTCACATAAATAATATGTAAAATTATTTCTATGTCGCTATTTAGGGAGATTGCAACAGTTTCTGACAGATCATCGTTATTTTTCGCAACAACAATCAATGGCATTCTTATGAGAATGTAGATATCCTGATTATTAAACTATAGAACTTGTCGGATAGAATAGCAAGAGGGAATGAGCAAGAAATCAAATTTGGTACCGATATATCAAATTTTATCCCCGAGTCGATTCACTCTAATGCAATGAACGATATACTAATGTAGCGGCTACATAATATTATTCTTATAATTGTATAATCTTTTCTTATTTTATTTAATTTTTATAAATATAATTCTATTTAATTCTTATAAAAATATTACTGAATATTTTGAAAATGTAAAATTTAAATATTAATCGGGCTCTCAAACTTAAAAACTATAATAGGGTATATCGGGCAATGAGAGCATTAATACAGCGCGGTAATTGGCGCACAAAAAAAAACAATAATTTTCAAATAAAATTTACATATTATGAAGATGTACAATGATTGTCGATTTTTTTTGCGACAATCATTGTATTGTACATCTTTATAATATGTTAATTTTATTTGATAATTATATATTTTTTTTTGCGCACCAATTACTGCGCTGTATTGATGTTCTCATTGCCCGATATACCCTGTTATAGGATCTTAATATTTTGAGTATGCCTTGCAAATAGTATAAATGGAAGGGCGTACAACAATTTAATAACAGTTAAAACAAAATTTAATATATCGTGTATGGAAATGTCGCATAAAAATATGAATAATATATTTAGAATTAAAAAAGTTTATTTAATTAAATAAGAAGCTCGTTGAAACCTTCTTAGATAGGCAATACTGCAACGATTGATAACTTGAGATATTCTCAACTAGACGAGTAGTTTATGTTAAATATATGATATATGATCCCTTGCATCTATAACATGAGATACGACCTTGACATATTCCAGCAATTATAAAACTGACTAGTCATTTAAGTTTGAGTTTATTTAATTAAATTGTCATTAAACTTATGTAACTTATTGTTACTTATTGTTATTAGTTACTTATTGTAATTAAGTTATAATTTTTATTAATTGAAGTTTATCTAATTAAATTTTCAATTAATTGTTTAAATAATTGCATTTAAGATCAGAAACAAATTTTTATTTAAAATAAATTTTTCTCCAAAATTCATCTTTTTAGATACCTTATAATAAAAAACAAAAAGTACTACAATTATTTTTATAAACCATACTTGCCTATTAATTTTACTAGTTAATTTGAAGACTTTGAACTCTTTGAAGTATAAGTTAAGTAAAATTTTAAATAAATTTTCTTTTCACAAAATTCAAATAAATTTAAAAGACTAAACTGTCTTCTCCGTTATATATTCTGTATGTAGGAAAGGATATGCATATAAATTTGCGAACGTGAGTGCATAAAACTATCGTTTTATATCATGCACATACATGGAGAGAAAATAAATTTGCGAATTATGAATAAATCGAAAATTTGAGAAAAAGATAAATCTATATATATCAATCAATTAAATTTGATCTCAATTAAATTAAAATAATCTTGCATCCAATATGATGCATCTATTATAAAATTATATCATTACTTTTACGCGTTACTGTACTGAAACTACACACGTTTGCGAACGATATATGCATAATACGAATGATATATATGTAACGTATGTAAACGATGTATATGCAAAATCCTTCTAAATTATTATCTCATGCAGATTGAAAATGGAATAAGAATTTCTACTGTTAGTCATTGATTGCTTTCGAATTTCGCTTATATAAAATGGATAATTCATTGAGATCAGAAACGATAGAGAGAGTAACAGTTAGTCGATCACGCCTAAAAAAGTGAAAGCATATAACTCATCAAAAAATGATAGCAATATTTCAAAAATAAAAAATGGTCCCTTAATTATTGATAAATCTTCTGCTAAAAAAAATATATACATATCTAAACATAGTATTGATTTTAACTTTTATATAAAACTTATATTAAGTATTTTTTATGTCGTACATAAACATGATAAAAACATATGTAATATATATTTCATTATAAGTCTAAGTTTAATAAACCTGTTAATGAAAATTTTAAGTATTGACATAAATTGATGAAACAAATCGTAAGTATCTATAAATATCCTAAATATATTGTATTTAAGATAATGCTTAACTTTTCAAGTAAATACAATTCAAGTAATACATACACAAAGTTGCAAGAAATGCTAAATATATATATATATA